CTATTGCTGCAGTTTTCAGGGTTCGTTCGAGTGTTTTTATCTCATGCCAGTGGTGTTGTTTTGTTGAGTTTGATACAAGTCCAGCTCCTCTCTATTAAATGTCAATTTACAACCCCAGTCCCAATGCAGGGTGGTACCAGCTCCCTGCACTCCAGCCCCTCTGCCAGTCCCACGGCTCTGCCCAGAGATCTGTCAGCTGGAAATCACCGTTTATGGAGAAGTCAGACAAGCGTTAGACGTGATTCCAGTTCGGCTGGTACTCTGTTGGCACTGCCAATGCCTAGGGATCCATTCCAGTGCTGTATCACGCAGAGCCACCTTCCCCAATAGTATTTTTCCTTAAGATCAGCCTAGACCTACGGGAACTAGTTAAGATGAGAAGGAACCAGGGCCCGTTGGTACGCGAACTGCGGCGCTGGGCAGGAGTGATGGTTACGGGTGTAAAGCACAAGAAGAGCAAACCGTCAGGTCTGAGAAAAAACTTCCACTTTGATCTCAGTGAAAGTTTGAGGAATGCAGGAACATGTTGTTACAAGCAACATGCATGCTTGAAGCTTTCAAACTGAAAATCCCTCCCCGCCCTCGCTGCACCAGATTCTCTTGTATAGAAGGATTTTGTAGTTCATTTCAATCATCCAAAACCAAGTGAACCAAGAGCTCAGGCTGCGCATCCTTGCGGCCCCTTGCTGCGTCTCAGTGTTGCAGGCGTGTGCGATCCAAGGCCAGCCTTGCCCAGAATTAAACTTCTCGAGCAGAGATACGGCGCTTAGATGCAGATGCCAGATCGGTGTCACACCTCTGCCAGGTCACCTTGCCAGGTGTCGCATACCCGAGTTCCTGGTGGAGGGAACTCTTCAGCCCACGTTTACTGTGGCAGCTTTTCTGCCACGCGTGTTGTTAAAACACACGTGCGTCGTGAACACGTTGTTACGCCTAAAGCATGAGCTGCAGATATTTGCTGGGGTTGCTTTAAGGGCAGGTGGGGCGGGGAGGAAAAGCAAGAGCTGCAGCAATCAGAAAGTCTCCTAGGGCAGGCTCTCAATGACGGGAAGGGGAGTGGTACCGCGCCGAGACATGTCTGACCAGGAGAGCAGCAGCAGGAAATGATGTGGGCTTCCTCTCTCGCATCACAGGATGTCTCACTGATAAGAGGTGTCCAGACTAAACAGAACTAGACTGGGAGCTGCTGCACTGGGCGGGGTGGCAGCTGACTTCCACTTGAGGGGGGGGAGGGGGGAAGGCAAGAGCAAGTTCAAATAACAGTAAATGCCACGCGTACCGGACAGCGCTTCGCAGGCCTGCAGGTGTGTCCCCCCTTGCGCTGTGATACGCACAAAAGTTTTTGCCAGTGTGGATTTTCAGTCCCTAACTCCTTCCCTCTTTGGGAGGGAATAAAGGAGGTTTCCCAATATGAGAGGCTAGAATTCAAGTAGCTGAATATTCTGCTGCCCCTAACCACCCCGTCCGGCGGTATGTACTCAGGCTCGCTGTCACCACACCAGCGCAGCAGCACAAGGCCGCGTGCTAAGCCCCAGCCGCAGCAAAGCTGGATTAGTGCTGGGCCTGGGCAGGCGGCACGGGGCAGCCGATGTCTCCGGGTCTGGAACTGCCCCTTTATGGCGTAACGACCTCAGCGACTGCCGCATGGCGCTGAATAGGAAAATACCAAAGTAACTGCAAAGGCTGAACTTTACAAGACATCGGTACGACTCAAGTTCTTAAATCATGTAAGAAATGTTAACGTAAAGCTTTAGACATCCTTTTATCTTTAATGGGGAGGGCACACAGGAAGTTTGTCACCTTATTTTCATCACTTATTATTTTTGAGGAAACCACAATTCTCCAGACAGGCGTAGTCTGAGAGAAATAGCATCAGGCAAGCCTGAGAGGAAATAAGAAAGACAACACGTTGGGGGCTGTGAATGTCTTTGTGTAAGCTGAAAGTATTACACCCTTGGTACCTGCTGAGTGTCAGTGTGGTTTATGCCTTTCTTTTTTCTTACCTTGATACTGAGATCCAAATATGGGTGGGGTGCTGGCGTAGCCGTCACTTTAGCCCAAAACATGTGAGTTTTCCTCTTCTTTGTTAGATGGAAATCTCTGATAACTGCTAATCGTTATCTGTTTGTGGCCTGAAATCGCATGTTTCAAACTGGTGCCGTTTTTCTAATGTTTACGCCCTTGAATACTGGGGCTTTTGTCTGCTGTTGTTATCAGTACGTGAAAAATAGGAAGATTTACTGCTGACTCTTAACTGCGCTGGTTTTCACCCTCCTTTCTGGAACTTAAGCCATGAGAAATATTTAGGGATTTCAAAGTTAAACAGTTCAGGCCGTGCACTGGTGTCATTGGAGGGGAGTGTATGGAAAAAAGTGGGGAAAAGGGAATTCCTCCCTTCCCTCAGCTTTGGTCACCTTAGGTCGGGACGTACATGGTTTTATTACTCTTCTCGCCTTGTGTAAGGCACGAGTATGTGTTAAAGTTACACAATCACAATGGAACTGAAATATTAACATAGTTTATTATATTGTGTATAAAACCCATAAAAATGATGTTTCTTGATCTGCTTTTCTCTAGATTGAGGACCTACAGGTTAAGCTTCAGCACGCAGAGGCTGACAGGGAGCAGCTCCGGGCTGACCTGATGCATGAACGGGAGGCGCGGGAACACTTGGAAAAAGTAGTCAAGGAACTTCAGGAACAACTGTGGCCTAAACCCAGCAGCCAACCCAGCAGTGAAAACACAACGAGCAAAATTGAGAACTAAACCCCCCCACACCATCTGCCACACCCCGTGACGTAGATGCACAGTAAGGGAGGATGCGTGGGGCACGTGTGTAAGTGCATGTGTGAGTAGTTGTGTCTGGGCACACCCATCGATGAATATGGATTCGTAGTAGTTGGAAGGCAAATGTTACTCTTTATAACAGAAGCACTGAATTATGCCTCTTTTTTTTCCAACCCATATAGCACAACATCTTACTGTGCCTATAAAACACAAAGTGTTTATAAACAAAATACTTTTAAGTCCACAGCAAATTTTCTACTGGCAAACTCCAAGCAAGCAGCATCGTCCAACTAAAATCAGAGTAAAGGCAAGCATGGCAGTGTTTTTATGTTGCCCTTCTGCCTCTTGGAACATTTTGGAATTTGAAAACAAACAAACTTTTCTTATAAGCTATTTAAAATAATTCATTACACAGACTTGGTATTAAAAAATTAACAAGATTTTTATAATGAAAAGCAAAACAAAAAAAACCTTCAATGCACAATTTTTAATGACTTGTTCTAGGCTTTGGGATTCCTAACGCAGAAGCCCTCTGGCGCTGATGCCATTTCGTTAGCAGTTTTCCAGCCATCTAGGAAGCCATCACAGTTTTAATCCCATCACGTGGTTGTATGAGAATTTCAGAGTGCTTTTCAAAGTTGATTTTTTTCCTTAGAAAGAATTCGCTTCATTTCCTGTCCTGAACACCAGACGAAGGGAAGATGCAGGATTAAGGGAAGGGGTGCGGGTGGGGGGAAGAGAAGATGTACGCTTTAGAGTTACAAACCCAGCCTTACAGACTTCAGTGTTTGCAAATCACGCCATCTCTTCTGAAGCCATCTTCATTAATTGACGTGTTCGAGAGACTCACTTCATCCAGAAGCACTTCAGCTTTAGGAAAAGACAGAAGCAAAGGAAGGAAATGGATGATCTGTAAAGTCGGTTGAAATAAAGCAGAAGACGTGTATTTTTAAGTCATTCTGAAATCTTTACTTCAGCTTTCAGTTTTCTGGAAAACTCATCTTTGTTGCACCATCTAACCATAAATTCAGTATTTACCTGCTTTTATTATGAACTGTCAGTCAGGATTTGTGTGCCCAAGGAGAGTGCAACATCGCATTATCGGATACTACAGAAAAGAAAAACATTTTTGCTGCTGTGAATATGCCTACATCCTTTTAAAAAAATAATTTTGTTTTTAAAAACAGAAATTACTTTAATTTTGGGATCCAAGCCGCAGCCCCGGAATAAAAATGCAGCATGCCATCACTTTGTCTTATTGTTGGTGTTGGTGGTGTTGATTTTATTTTATTTTTTTATAAATACTGCACTTTGTCAGAATCTAACTCTGCATTTTATTCCATATTTCTGAAGTTTACAAGTTGAGCATTCTAGATCCTACCCTGCCTAACAGCTGTGAAAATCATTAACCCAGTTTCCTACTATGCGACACCTTCATCACCGTGTACATTTATGCAAAACGAGGATTCAGCAGGTATAGAATGCTACCAAATATGAATTTACGAGACCAGTGCTCTGCTGGTTGAGTTCTACACTTGTTCTGCGTGGCTTTGTGTCTAACAGAAGTTGGGAAGCAGTAGAGATGCTCCCGGAAGTGCTTAACAGATACAGTTGGTGCTTTACTGAACAAGAGAAAAGTTGTTTTCACCCGTAAACACTCACCTCTGATACACTCAAGCTTATCAGCATAAAGTGAAAATGGGATCTGGGGCTGCAGATGTGCCTTCCAGCTCATTTGTCCTCTCAGCATCGTGTACAGGCCATGCTGACACTTTTTTTTTTTTACCTTAAAGAATAAAAAGAAAAAAAAAACCAAACCCTATGCATCATCGTACACAGAAGTTATTCTAAACAAAGAAACATAGTTCCAGCAATCTTTGTTTGCTTTTGGACATTAATGCAAACTATGTAAGCTTAAAATTATTTTCCCAGTAGACAGAAAGCGGCTTCCAATCCTAAAATTACAGTATTTACTTACAGTACATTCAAGAGATTTTTTTTTTTAAACAAGAGCTGTTTGCTTGAAACCATTATAATAACCATTATAATAACTGTGAGCATTAACAAAGAAGTTCATATATATATATATATATATGTTTTAGGTACAAAAAGAAGAAATATGAAAGGAGTAGAATTACTGGGACAATGTAAAAGTGTTGGGAGCAAGAAACAGTGTCACCACGTAAATCACACGAAACTGTCCGTTCATGCAGGGGTTCACCCTGGTGTGTTTGGGATGCTGGAGACTGAGTCTCGATGCAGATCTCCTCCTCTAAAGTGCAATGCAAAAGGAATTTTGGTTATGCTTAAGCAGGTTTGGGTTTTTTTTAATGTGTTTTTTTTTATTTTTGCTTCTTTGTATGTTTTTTTTCCTGCAATTATTAAATCATATGCATGGAATTAAAATCTCTGCCATACGTATATTCATTAATGGGCATTATTACTGTCTTATGTAAAGGGTTTATTTGTTATGCAGCGTGCATAAAAATGTTCTCAGCCTTATGATTTCCCAATCTGTATTATTCACTTATTTCTTCAAGGGAAATTAAATGATTTAGCTTTAGTTGATCATTGTGCATTTCCAAAGTCTCACATGCTGTGCTTTGCTGCCGTGTTAAGAAATTACACAGAACAAACGTGCTCCCGCCCCCCCCCCCCCCCCCCCCT